CTCGCGTGGAACCTGGAGGACATCAGGACCCGGCCAGTGGAGGAGTCCACGACGTATGCGCTCGGTCCCGCCTCGCCAACGAGCTCCACCTGGGTACGGGGGGGCGGCATGCGAGGGCATTTGTTTTTAACTCGGCAAGGTGCCCGTCGGAGACGGGGATCAAACTAGGTAATAGGCTGGCCAGAAAGCAGCAGCATAACACCCCCCTGAGGGCAAGCTAGGTCATGGCGCACACGTCGAGGAGGAGGAGGCGGCGGCGGCGGCGGTGGAGGAGGAGGTGGAGGAGGCGGAGGCGGAGGCGGAGGCGGAGGCGGAAACGGAGGCCGAGGCGAAGGCGGAGGCGCATGAGGATGGAGAGGAGCAGAAGTCGGCGGCGCGCCCAGCGATGAAGGCCGAGGGGGACAGCGGACAGCCTTGTGGCGGGGCTGCTCAGAAGCCCTCCAGCCTTTTGAGAAGCGCTCCGTGGCTTCGGAGAAGGCTCAGAAAGCTTCTCAGAAGGCTGGAGGCCTTCCGATCCTTCTGAGAAAGATCGCACGCTCTGTCAGAAGGAGATGAAGGTACAGAAGTGGTGGCCTCCGCAAGCTGGGCAGCCATACAACGCCTGCGCTGGTGGCAGATATTCGGATGTGGCGTAACACTACATACCAAGCACACATGACAAGAGGCAAAAGGTGATCACAGGTGCCCCATCTATACAGTGTGATTGAGATTTGAAGAAAATACGTATCTAACACCGAGCTTCAACGTGTGACATGCGAGAAGTCTACAAAAATGGCTACCCCCCATATGTATGACTCTTGGGAAAAGCACCATCAGGCACCAAGCGAATGCAAATGCGCTGGCCCCACGGGCCCAAGGCGTACCAAAAATCTCCGGCAAGCGGTGCACCGTATCTTTCTTCTTCGCGCGAGGCGCGGGGGGCGGCCCCATGGGGGGCCCCTGGACGGAAAAGTACCCCGGCCGACGCTTGAGCGACTATCAAAAACGGGTCTTACGCGAGATGGCATAGCAACCTTACGCGGTAAGCTTACGCGGGCCGCCCGCGCGGCACGCCACAACTGAAGCGAGGCACCTGCTCGCGACCTTCTGCGGGCAGCTCACGCGTCAGCGTCGGCGCAGACGATGCCGTTTTGCTGCGTCGCGCACCTTGTCAGAGATGGCTCTCATACTGGGCGCGGCTTTCATGGCCCCCAGGAGCACTCGAGAAGCGCTCCACGGGGTCTGCAGGAGAGCCCAAGAGGGTCCGACACAACCCCCCGAGGCCCCCAACACGTCCAGCGCGCACGGGGGCCCAGGCAAAAATCAGTGGTGTGCTACTGATGTTTGCAAGATGTTTGCGTTTTCATAATCCCTGAATCTTTCGTTTCTGGGGTAGGAAAATGGCGAGGGGCGGTTGCCTGTTCCGCTTACTCGCCTTCTGCCTGCAATAGCGGGCTTGCGGTCTCCTCGCCTTCCTCCGCTGTGCCGCCGCCGCTGTGCTGCCGCTGCTCACGCTGCGTGCTCCAAGGGCGCGGTTCCAGTGCCCGCGAGAGGGCGCGCCGGCACAGACAGGCGTTCGTTCTCTCGCTTCTGGGCGCTCCCGAAACGGCTCCTCGACAGGGAGCCAGGCGCTCACGTCTGCACTCGGCTCCCTGATGGGGAGCACCCCCCTGCCTGGGTAAGGCAATGCGAGCCCGATTGCTCCCCGATAGGGAGTGGGTCCCTGCCTGGATAAGGCAAGCCCCGAGTCGGCCGCAGTTCCTCGATAAGGGACGGGTCCCTACCTGGACAAGGAGTAACCCACGCAGCAGCCGCAGTCCCTGGACAAGGGACGGGCCCCCTGCCTGGACAAGGTAAACCCACGCGGCTCGATAATACCCCTCGTCTGGAGACCAGCCAGTGGCCGGCCGAAGGCGTCGCCTGGGATCAGCTTGTTTTTCCCGCCCTCCCTACCCCGTTCAGCTGGTGCTCTGGCCAGGTGGTGTGGGGTGTGGAAAACGTCCCAGGATACCTGCCTGGCAGCGCGTCTGCCGTTTGCCCTTCGTCTCGCGCGAGGGCACCAACCGAACTCGCAGGGAGGCCGGCGTCCGTGGCGATTTTCGCCTTTTCGGGGTTCTGACCTTCCAAGACGGCCCAAGAGGACCCAACGACCGTCCCAAGACATCCAAAGAGGCTCCCAGCAGGGCCCCACAACGATCCAAGAGGACCCCAAGACGGCCCAAGAGGACCCCAAGAGGGCTCAAGAAGCCCTCAAGAGGCCCACAAGAGGCAGCCCGAACCGAGAGTTCGACCCCCTCTGCCAAAGATAGCCTCCGAAGCTGCCAGAAGGCCCCCAAGGCCCCGAGAGGCCCGGAACAGCGCCGCCACGAGGATCACAATATACTTCATCACGGACGAAGCATGTCCACAAGAACGCAAATCAAGAACACGATTTCCTTCGCCGAAGACTTAATACCCCATACAGATACCCCAGACAAAGAGCTTAAGGCTACATTCACCTCCAAAACTAGAGTGGTTCTTAACCCTCGTGCAAGCTGTACCGCACCCACGACACCACCGAACAGGTGAACGCAGTGGACGACAGCCCTTGGATCAAGTCCACCTTCTACTTCTCCTCATCATCCCTTCCCTCGCCCATCTTCGGTCCTCTCTTCGTCCTCCGCCCCCTCCTCCTCCGCGTCCTTACCATCGTCATCTTCACCGCTATCGTCATCGTCGCCGTCGTCGTCATCATCGAGATCATCATGCTCGACAGCCCCGCCTTGTTGTGCACGTCGAGCTCCGGCGGGTCCAGGGACTTCAGCAGCTCTGGCGAGAGCTCCGCGCGCTCCTCGGCAGGCGGGCGCGCGGCCATCGACGAGCGCGGCGGAGGACGTGCCCGCAGCAGCAGGATCGGCCACACGAAAGTATCTGCCGGGGGGGCACACTGCCACAGGAGTGCAGCGGGCGTGGGCCAAGGAGCGCAGGACAGAAGGCTGCCCTCGATTTGGCAGGGTCGGCCTGCTCATCAGGCTCGACCGTCCACGGAAGAATGCCCATAAGCGAGAGTCCTCTGGTGCGCGGCTTGCTTCTGCCGATCGCTGCATGCGACGGGAAAGTAGCGGCGCGCGTGCTCGGGTGTGGCACCAGGCACCCCCCTCCAAAAGCTGCGCATTGAAGGGCACCCTGGCGGATGGTCACTCTTACCCGTGGCCGCAGCAGGAGCAGGAGGAGAAGCGCGCCAAGGGGAACGGACGAACAATCGCCCTGGCCTCCGTACCCCTCCTTGTCCCCCCAGCCCCGCCCATCTCCCCCGCAAAAAGAAATCGAACCCCCTCTCCTCCATCCATCCTCCTAAATCATAACTCTCCCTGGTCGAACCACCATACCTGTCAGTAGAGCATCTGGGCGTTTCGCCTGAGACTTCCTCACCGCTTATGACCCTGAAGCTTGGAATCTCTAACACGGGCGAAAATGGAAGGCGGGTTGTTTTCAACATGCGACTCTCACCTCAGCACAGCGCAATTCCGTCTCCAAAGTTCCCAACGACTGTAAGGAAGGAGTGCGGATCGTTTCCAAAAGATGGCTCTCGCCTTGGCGTCGCGCACATTCGTCTTAAAAGCTTTCAGCAAGTACATGGATGGACGGCGGGCCGCTGTCAAAATGTGGCTCTCGCCGTAGCGCCGCGCACGTTCGTCTTAAAGCTTCCAATAGGTTGTCAGGTCCATGGCGGATCCTTTTCAAAGTGGGGCTGTCGCTTGAGTTCCCCACGCATTATGACCATTGGACCATACGTCGAAATTAGCGCAACAATTCGATGGAGGACGGATCCTTTTCAAAATGGGGCCCTCGTTTTTGCGTTCAACACAAATGCGAGTGGACGTGCAGTAGTGTGCAAAAGCTACAAGGATTGAGCGCGGCTCCTCCTTGCACACTTCATAGGGGGCTTCTTTCGAGGGGGCGCCTCCCGTAGTTGTCTTCAGGAATGCTTCGCCGCGCCAGCGTCGTATCAGCACCTTGTGGCTGAGTTCGGCAGGATTGATCAGCTTGTTAGCGGCAAATCACGATCTCTTCTCGTTCAAATCTGGACAGTCAAGGCGCGCGACAAGCGCAACCGTTTGGCCATCAAGGCCTCAGACGTTTTCATGGGGTCTAGTACCACCCTTTTGTTGACAGACTTGTACCATGAGCACAGGTTGCTAGCAATTCGCTTCCCACCCAGTCAGTTTGGGCTTCTCAGGGATGCAGTAACAGATGTCAGCAGTTGCGTGCGACAGGAGGGGATAAGATCGCGGTGCTCAAATGTATCCCACGCGTAGTCGGCGAGAGATCATGCTACAGCGTTTGCTCCCCTCAGGGCACTCGGTGCGTCAGGCAAAAGGCATAGCTAGCGCAAGGATGCCGGGTGGTACTACAGCCCCCACCGTGCCAGAAGCAGTCGTTGGCTAGAGCACTTTGGGAGTCAAGAAATGGCGGCGCAAATGTCCCCTTCAATGTTTTCCCAAGTTTTCCTAAGCAGACTTCCCACCCATCTCGTTGGTGACCGTAAGATTTCTCAGTTCCGACTTATTTCGAGTTCGAAAAAGCGCTTAGAGGGACACGTCGAGCTGCAGCGCGTAGAGGGACAAGTCGGATCATTCGTGAGAGCATGCGCCTTCGCCTTAGCTGCAGCTTATGACCCCCTGTGTTCAAATCCTCTACTGCCGTCGGAGCCTGCTCAATGGAAGAGAAGAGATCTGCCACCCATTCCTACTGGTAACGAGAACGTTTATGCGACATCCTCTTCCAGGCACATCCTTATCTGCTCACATCTGGGTAAACTTTAAACTCGTACTTGAGGGCCAGGCTCATGCAGGTGCTCAAAAAAGCAATTGGCAGTACGCAATACGCGTGCAATCCAAGGAAAGGGACGCCCATGGCGGTTTTGCGTGCCCGTGTTCCACAAGTTTGCCATTGCGTCTCGCAAACAAATTGCCTTTGGTTTTGTTGACCTCGTCAATACATTTTACTCCTCAGGCAGGGAGCTTGTACTAGCCACTGGCACAAGGCCAGAATGTTTGCGATTGCTTCTTGAGAATGTTGGAATCTCACCTTCCTCCCTCCCTATGCTCTTGGATAGGTTGAGACAGGTCCCCACTTTGCACAGGCATGACTTGGACGTGCACTTCGCCTCTATGGTGGAGGAAGCGTTTTGCTTAGGACGTTTCCGGATTCCAGGAGCTGAGCGTATCACCATTCCGCACCAAGGCACCAGGCCAGGCACTCCTTTTGGTGATGCGAATTGTATGTTCATCATTGCCGAGGTTACGGCTAAGGCTACACAGGATTTACAGCGTGAGGGGTTGCCGCCGAAACTTGTCGAATACGACGTCTTGGCTTAGTAGGGAACCTAGCGACGTTGAGGTACCAGTGCCAGGCATAGTCTATGCCGACGACTCTGGTTTTGTTGTTCATTCCTAAGCATGCCGAAATCTTTTCAAACTTGCCGACATTTGCAGGATCGTCACTAACGCGTTTGTGCCTGTAGGGCTGAGGCCTGTCGCAAGAAGGAAATATTGCCAGACGTGCGAGACCCCGGGGCCATCAAGTTCAAGAGGGAACAAGTTCGAGAGCAAGAGCCCACTGTACTATAGACGTCTCTGGACTGCTGTGCGACAACGCCACTTCGGTTGTCAAAAACACTGTTTACCTGGGGACTTGGTTAGATGACAAAGCCGTCATGGGGCCCGAGCTAGCGTATAGGATCCGCGAGACCAACGTTGCTCTCAGTACTTTGCGCAAGGCTGTGCTTAAGGCGCCAGGCAAGGACATTGCCCCCAAGCTAATTTTTCCCGACCCGCTCTCGGTCAAAGAGGTGATGTACTCAAGCCGGTGCTTGGCACGGCCTGCTCAAATCGGAGAGGGGGAGGTTTCAGGCTGAGTACGTTCGCATGTGTAGATCAAGCATGCGATGTCCGAGGTACGAGGCGGGGGAACCTACGGACAGGGAGGTTCTTGCGAAGGCCAGAAGGGCGCTCGCCAGCTCGATGCTTCGCGTTTCAAGTGTGCGCCTGTTTGGGCAGGTGCTACACTATGCACCGCAGCCTCTGGTTTCTATCCTACATGCAGAGTGTCATAAATCATCGGCCTCGTAGCTTCACAAAGTGCTCGATGGCTTAGCTTGGCTACGAGCTTCTCATCACCGATTCGAAGACCACCCGCTGCCTAGCCTGGATACCTCGCCATGGGTGGCGGAGGTTAAGAGGTCCCATTCTGGGTCGACGAGGGTCATCAAAGAGGCCCTGGCAGCTTCAGTAGCAAGGCTTCAGAGAGTTACCGAAGCGCAGTCTTGGGAGTCCCGTAGAATGGAAAGAGGCTCAGTAGCTCTGGTCTCCCTCGGCGTGACGACGCTCCAGAACCGCTAGTGCCCAGCAAATTTCAGCTACATGTTTGAGAAACTGTGTACGACTCGATTCGCTCCGTCGATTCGCACAATCGTCGTTCACACTTCACGTACACTGATGTGGCCAGAATGAGAGTCTCCACCGAGTAGTGCGCGTCTGGCCTCAAGCGGTTCGCGACTCGGAGCCTGCTTTTAAAACACATCACTTCTTGAAGGCCTACTTACATGGTTTACTACCTTAGACGCATCACTCCGCGATCACAGGATGGGAAAAAAGGATCCGCCTGCGCATGAAAAGGCACAGAACTGAGCATTCACTAAGCAGGGCCACTCGGCTTCCCACTCTGAAGTGTTCCTCATTTACTCTTCCTGGCCCCCTTCCCCTCTCAGCAATGGCCATACATGCCAAGTACGCGCTCCAGATTGCCACGCAATCCATATCTGATATTTTCAGAGCATCACATGATGAAGCGGACAGATGCTTGCTTCATTCCCAGAGTCTGTATGCCAGGATCGTTGAGTTCAGACTCTGTCCGCGCTTCAGACTCCGCCCTCTGGGTGGATCGCCCACCCCCACTCGTCGCCGTCATCCGTCGGCTACTGGGGTCAGCTTGGAGCCACCGCGGGGTCGCATCAGGATCGCGGGGTCAACTTGGGGTGCCTGGGCAGGGCTGCGCATCCGCATTTGTGTGAGACATCTTCGCAATTGAGTGCCTATGTTTCAGGTCAGCTATGTTTCCGGGCTCGCCTCGTCTTTTTCACGCCCGGGAGCGCGTATGAACACTGCGGTCTCCAAGACCCCTCGTCCTCCTCCTTCCCCTTCCTCCCTCCTCTATGTCATCGTCGTCCTGCCTCTTGCTTCTCTTCCGTGGGGGCTGCGAACTGCAAAACTGTCGCCACTATCGTAGGCCACATGGAGGTCCAGCGGAGTGGTGTCCCACGGCGATTAGAATGGGACGCCTACGAACTGCGCAGCTGTCGCCACTTTCGCGGGCCCCTGGGCGGTCCAGCGGACTGGGGTGCTCCAGGACGTCCTGGAGGGCTGAGGTTGAAGCCATAGATTTTTGAATAGCGTTCCAAACACATTCAGCCCCAGGTTTTGGAATGCCGTTCCAAAAGCATTCACCCCTAGATTTTGGAATGCCGTTCCAAGCACAATCAGCCCCAATTCTTGAGCCTACGCTATCTGTTCACTGCTATCCGCCGCCGGCGTCGTCGGCAGGTCTAGTCGGGAACCAGGGGGGACAAGTTTGCTATCGCGTTGTGGTGTTCAATTTCGCCGTCGTCGTGATCGTCGTCAGCAGAGCCAGGGGGGAACTTTGTTAACGTGTTGTGGTCTTCATTTTCGGGTCGTCGTCGTCGTCGTCGGCAAGCTGTCCGGAATCAGGGGGGAACTTTGTTAACCTGTTGTGGTCTTCATTTTTGCCGTGGTCGTCGTCGTCGGCAGGTTCAGTCCAAAACCTGGGGGG